GGTCCTGTTCCCCCCGGGACTCCAACCCAGAACCCTCTGGTCCTGGTTCCCCCTCTGGTCCTGGCTCCCCCGGGCCCAGACCCCAGAACCCTCTGGTCCTGGTTCCCCAGACCCCAGAACCCCGGTCTGGGCTCACCCTGGTATCTGGACAGCAGCAGGGACAGGAAGCAGGCGGCGCCGCTGAGGAACAGGGCCAGCATGCTGATTGGCCGGCGGCCCAGGCGCAGCAGCGGCACCAGCAGGCAGGGCGCCTCCGATAGGCCGGACAGGAACTGGGCGGCGTGCACGCCCACCCCGAAGGAGCCGATGTTCATGCAGATCCCGTAGTAGGTCAGGGCCGAGGCCGCGCTGAAACACACAAACACGCCCGCCCAGTCAGAGAGGGACGCTTTTTAAACAGAAATATAAACTACAACAGGTGTTCAACAGGTGTGCTACTGTAGAACTTCAATAAATAAAGCTTTAACCCTATAATGCCAAATGTGTCATTTTTGATTCATACGGTTTCTGAAGTCTTTTGGATCTGAGACTTTCTGCATCATTCAGTGGTAAAAGCTTTGCTCAAACCCCTGTTGTACACATTCAGATACACCTGATAACAGCCAGTAGAAGACTACACCAAAATACATTTTTGACTTATTGCACGCTAATTTGATCAAAATAATTTCTGTTTTTTTTTCTTCATATGTTGTTGAGGGGCCAAAGAAAGACTTCAGACCAAAGAAATCCAATATTCTTCCTATTTTTCTTGGATCAGGCTTTAAAGGGTTAATTCATTTTAATACAACATCCAACAAAGCATGAATTAACTCATTTTAGAGGGATTCATTCAGACCTCTCAACAGTTAAGAAAATTATCCCGAAAAGACTCCAATTAAACTGAGAAAAAAGGCTTCTTTGTCAAACCAAAACAACCAGAGTTCCCTTCAATTTCTAAATGAGACTTTGACTCTCCATCCTAAAGTCATGCTGTTGAACATGTTTAAAGTTTAGGTTAATAATAAAGGTCTATAATAATAATAATAATAATAATAATAATAATAATAATAATAATAATAATAAAGGGCAAGCCTGTTTGTCTAAAACGGACTAAAAATGTCCGACACACCACAGGAGGCCACTCTAATCGAGCTGTTTCACTAAAGTTAATAAATAGTTTGACTCCGATGGATTTTCTGGGATTCTGGTTTCTGCTTTTTGAAGCTGAGAGCAGAAACGTGGCCTTTTCCCTTCGGTTTGCTCCAGCCTCCTCCATCCCTGACTATCGGTTAGCGATAACTCCTCAGTTACACGTTTAAGGTGTTGCGTAACAGCTCTGTGGCCAATCAGGCGTCGGGAAGGAGAACTGTTCAGACATGTGAGTGTGCTGCTGAAAAAGAGGAGCCAAAGGTCCCCGCTTACATAAAGACCGATGCATTCCTCCCTGTTGTTCAACCTGAAATGTCCCCCAACTCAGAGAGAAGGAGTCTGTGGTTTTAGAAAAACAGACACTTTCTAAAACGCGTTCATGCTGCAAAAGGTTCTAAGATCTGAGAAATAAGTTGTTTTGTGGACTCAGCTTTAGTCTCTGGGCTGCAGACTTTAGTTTCTGATAAAGCTGAGAGTTGGAGACGCCCCATAGTTCTGCTGGGGACTCCCAGCATGCACCTCTGCTGTTTACCCAGGCTAATGAGGGTTAAGGTCAGGGTCCGGGTTAGGGTTAGGGTCAGGTGTTAGGGTCAGGGTCAGGGTTAGGGTTAGAACATCGTTTGTCTTCTGATTTCGTATAGACAGTAAAGTCTCGTTTCCACCTCAGAAAGCTGCTAGTCACATGACCTAATCAAAATGGCCGACTTGGATGTGGGAGGAGATGGACATCCAGTCGAGGCTCCTACGGATTTAGATTAATCTGTTGGTTTCCTTTGATGGGAATTTTTTAAAACCGCCTCTGAATGAATGAGTTGAAAAGCCGTGTAAGAAATAAATAGATTTGAAAAGCTGAATTAAATTTGAAAAGGCCATAAACTGATGCTTTTTCTCTGATGTGGAGTTTTGTAGAAAACCCAGAGCTGTTAGAGGAACTACCTGAGGTAGCTCATGATGAAGAGCCGCAGCAGGATGGTGGGGTGCCTCAGGTGGGTGATGGCGCTGGGGGCGGGGCCTCTGGGGGCGGGGCCTCTGGGGGCGGGGCCAGTGGGGGCGGGGCCACTGGGGGCGGGGCCAATGGGGGCGGGGCCTATCGTCACATCCAGCTGAGCCTCGCTGGCCTTCTGCAGGTCGGCCCAGGCCGAGTCCAGCAACTGCACACACACACGGGGTTAGGGTTAAGGTCAGGGTTAGGGTTAGAGTCAGGGTTAGGGTTAAGGTTAGGTTTAGAGTTAAGGTTAGGGTCATGGTTAGGTTTAGAGTCAGGGTTAGGGTTAAGGTTAAGTTTAGAGTTAGGGTTAGGGTCAGGGTTAGGATTAGAGTCAGGGTTAGGGTTAATGTTAGGTTTAGAGTGAGGGTTAGGGTCAGGGTTAGGGTCAGGGTTAGGTTTAGAGTTAGGGGTTAGGGGTTAGGGGTTAGGGGGTAGGGGGTAGGGGGTAGGGGTTAGGGTTAGGGTTAGGGTTAGGGTTAGGGTCAGGGTTAGGGTTAGAGTTAGGGTCAGGGTTAGGGTTAGGTTTAGAGTCAGGGTCAGGGTTAGGGTTAGGTTTAGAGTCAGGGTCAGGGTCAGGGTAAGGGTTAGGTTCAGGGTTAGGGTTAGGGTCAGGGTTAGGATTAGGGTTAGGGTCAGGGTCCGGGTTAGGGTTAGGGTTAGCCCCCCCCCGTCCTAACCTGCTCCAGACAGCGCCTGTCGGCGGGGCTGTTGTCCTGGTAACGCTGCAGGACGTCCGTCTTCTTCTGCAGCAGCAGCCAGCGCGGCGACTCCGGGATGGAGCTGCAGAGAGAGAGAAGAAGAAGAAGAAAAGAAGAAGATTTTTTTTTATTTTTAGAAAATCATTTATTACTCAATAACTTAACAATAGAAAACGGTACATAATCAGGTCAGAGAATACTAAAAACACAATAAATAATCAAAATAGCAGCTTATTATATTTTAGTTCTCCCCGATCACAAATGGTGCACAATACATTAATAAAATCCCACGGTTGTAAAACAAAATATTGACCTTCCACAGAGCCACCGCGTCGAGTTGAGGTCCAGCCTGCATTTTGTCTCTTCGGGTTATTTAAATAGCCATTTTGGCTTCAGCTACTAAATAATTTAGAACGCGGGATTTAAAACTAGTGGTTCGACTGTGATGTACACGGTTAATAAAAACTGAATTGGTAAAAACCATGCCAAAAAGGCTAAAAATGTTCGCTAAACATTTTTAAAAAACTAGCTAACCGTACACAGTCTGTAAAAACATGAAAAACACTCTCGGACAACCTGCAAAATGGACGCTCGTTTAAAACCCCGGGACTGATGATGACCGATAAAAACGAGAAGAAGAAGAAGAAGAAGAAGAAGATTAAGGATAGGAAGAACTCCCCACATGGCTCTTTGGGTGGGAGAAGAAGAAGAAGAATAAAGAGAGGAAGAACTCCCCACATGGCTCTTTGGGTGGGAGAAGAAGAAGATTTGATTTTTAACAATACATTTATTGTACAATAAATCAACAATTTAAACATTACATAAATCAGGTCAAAGATACTAAAACAAATAAATATTTACAATAACACTCTGTTATATTTTAGTTCTCCCTGATCAGAAATGGTGCACAGAACATTATCAAGACCCCACATGGCTCTTTGGGT